AAACAGGAATAAAAAAGACAAGTTTAGGAAAATAAAATGCAGACAATAAAAATTATTAAAAACAGATAAAAACAAATTAAAATGAGTTAAAATAGGTTATAAAAGAATGAAAAAGAAATCGAAAAACATAATAGTGCGATCTGTCGGACGCAGCACAGTGCTCATTCAGTAAAGGCACAGCTAAACAGATGTGTTTTCAGTCTTGATTTGAATGTGCCTAATGTTGGAGCACATCTGATCATTTCTGGAAGCTGATTCCAGCAGCAAGGGGCGTAGTGGCTGAAGGCAGATTCACCCTGCTTAGACTGAACTCTTGGAACTTCTAGTTTATATGATCCTAAAGATCTGAGTGATCTGTTAGGTTTGTATTCAGTGAGCATATCTGTAATGTATTGAGGTCCTTGGCCATTTAGTGATTTATAGACAAGTAATAATACTTTAAAATCTATTCTGAATGTAACTGGCAGCCAGTGTAGAGACCTGAGGACAGGTGTGATGTGCTCTGATTTCCTGCTTCTGGTCAGAATTCTGGCTGCAGCATTCTGGATGAGCTGCAAGTGTCTGACTGTCTTTTTGGGAAGGCCAGTGAGGAGTCCATTACAGTAATCCACCCTGCTACTGATAAAAGCATGAACAAGTTTCTCTAAATCTTCACTAGAAACAAAGCATCTGATTCTTGCTATGTTTTTGAGATGATAGTATGCTGATTTACTGACTGCTTTGACATGACTGTTGAAACTCAGATCTGACTCCAGCGTCACACCAAGATTCTTGACCTTATTTTTTGTCGTTTGACCTTTAGAGCCTAGGTACGCATTCACCTTGAGAACCTCATCTCTGTTCCCAAACACAATGACTTCAGTTTTCTCTTTGTTTAACTGAAGAAAGTTTTGGCACATCCAATTTTTAATTTCATCAATACAATTTTTAATACATCAATAAACATAACAAAAACTGCCTGCTAATGCATGGGTAAATCTTCAAAGGGAACAGTGTACTTTATAACCTCATTCACCTCATCCTGCTTGCTGTTTCACTATCTAAACAATGAAAACATAATATAAGTTAAATTTGTTTCATTTTGATATTATGATTAACAGACACTAAACAGCCTCGTGTAGCTGCATATTTATATGGGCATCGTCTTCACTCTGCATATTTATAACAAAACAGGGCTTAAATATAACTGTCTCCTTTCATTTCCATTGAAAAGAATGAACTTTACCCTGTCTCTTTTGCAGAACATCAGTTTTAATAATCAATAATGGTCATTAACAGTATAACGTACATTAAATTTAAACGATAAAGGTAAGCAATCAGTCAATGTGCAAAATCAGTGTATGTGGTTACATAAATTAATATATTAGCTTATCTTTGCACTCAGCCAAAACAGTTAACTGAGAACAAGTGATTCAAAAGACATAAGAATTGTTAGATAGAGACAACAAGATGAATTCAATATCACGTTTAACAACTATAGTGAGATGAGATCATCCAGCAGATGAACTGTCTGACATGCACTTTACTCTCACCTGGGGTTTATGCTTACCCGCTGAACCACTGACTGCAGCTCTTGGCAGAGAGTGTGCATGTGTGTGGTCACGTGATTTGCGCTTTTAGCCGTGTATTAGAATGAACGGCGAACTTTTCAGAACCGCTAAATGAAACGCTGGTGTATTTCCCGCGATTTCTCTGCGCCTCCCTTGCGTTTCTTCTCTCTGACTCTCGACTATTTTGACAAATACACACAGACGACACACGCTCATACAGAGCCCAAAATAGGAGTTTGTGATTGGGCCAGCCCAATGTCAATACCGTAAAGAGTCAATGGGCTGCAGAGTGTCACATGGGCCGGCCCGGTCTGTCTGTTCAGGAAAAAAGCATCTACTTTCAGAGAGTCACAGATCACAGCAGCGTCAATTAATAAGGCAGAAAAAAGCGATATGCTGCTAAGCCTTTAATGGGCTGATCAGATCATAAGACGATGATCAGCCTGGCCCAAAAAGTACATCGGCCCACCGGGAAAGTGCGCGGTCTGCCAGATGGCCAGTCCGCCCCTGAACACCATATAATGATGTTTTTTAATGGTTGATACCATCTCAGAGCTCAAAAGCTGTGCAAAGTCAACAGATTTCTTTGCTCTTTGCAGTTATCCACCGGCAATTTTTCAATCGTTTGACGATTCTCTAATAAAATGATGAGCCGTAATCAAAATTAAGATCCATGATCCAGCTTTGCTTGCAAAGACTGAGTTGTTCCGTTTGTACCCAAACATGAAACCCTCACATATTTTCAGTTCATCTGTGATTGTGGACTAAGCAGGATAACCTTTTCACTTTCATTTTGATCCTGGACCTGGTTGCCCTGTCGTTTGAGTGTGTTGCAGTCTTAATACAATCTAAATTTAATCCCAAAATACATTTAAGTTTCTCAGTGAATCTTTTCTTAACCTTTGTCAAGTAAAAATTTGAAAAAGACAATGAAATCACAGGTTCTTGATTTCATTGCATTTTACAAAATGGTCACAACTTCATTTTAGAGTAGGGATTGTAAATGGATAAAAAACAAAGTGAATCTCTGATAGGGACTGCATATGCTAATATTGATACTACACTGTTTGAAATGTATCATTCAGCTAATACACTTTAAAGCTAACATAACAACATGGTGGTTTTATGGCCCATTCTCTTGTTCTTTCATATTATGCTTTTGCATCTTCATTTGTTTTTAAAACTATAATGCAGCTTGATTTTATGGGAGTGTATTAAAGGTAAAGTTCCTTAATGGCCACTTCGAACTCTCCCAGTCATAATCCTGTACCCTTATCTTTTGTCTAAAACCAAACTATCATGTGTGCATTGTTTTTTGTTCTTTCAAATGTATGAATGAGTGAAATTTGTGTGGTCTTTCATCATCCATCCTATGTAATGCCTTTAAACTGTCTTTCATCATGTGTGGTAGCCAGGGGATGTTGGCCACGCTAAGGTGTGTGTGTAGGGGACTTTCCCTCACTTGCATCCTTTTAGTTTAACCAGTGCTTCATCTTGATTTTTATAACCAGTGTACATTTCTTTTAGCACTTGCATGTTTTATTTGGGCCTGTTGTTAGCTACATTGCTGCCTTTCTTATTTCAAGCCTCCATCTTGGTTCATTGCGATTAACCCCATCTATCTGATTCTGCACGCAAATTTAGGGCTGCCTGATATTCACTGATTGACTCTTCATTTGATCCTTAATTTATAATCATATTTGGCATGATTTTGTTTAGTTACTCATCACAAGGACTGCTTCTTCTTCTTCTTATTATTATTATTATTAATATTATTAACATCGTCATCAATATCAATAAAGAAAACAGTTGCGCTGTAAAATATTGAATAGTAATGTGGTGGTGTATTAGTATGCCCAGAATTTTTGTATGTTAAATGTTTCAGCATAACAAAAATGTTTTATATGGTTTGTGTTTATTCAAGTGAGACAAGTGTGGTGCTAATCAACAAAAGAAGGCACCAATAACGATCCATACACCATACTAATCAAGCAATACAACTGCTTATTGCTGTTAAACATAGCTGATATTAGTTATCACAATAATAGTCAGTAATCATGAATCATACTCATGAACATCATTAATCAAAATATAACAAAACTGCATGAAAAGGCTTATAATTCAAAATAAATATGAGTAATAAGGATTACATGATTAAAAGGCAGATAATGTGCACCTATTCCAAGGTTGAGCTTTCAATGTTTCAGCAAGAAACCCTCACCTTTATAGTCATAATTTGGGTGCTGGCCTATGATCAGCCTATTAGGTAAGAGAGAACAGTGAGTTGATGAGGCCCAGCTCCACTCTCAGCTAGGTGCACATTATTTCTGATTGCAAAGCTCAAATTTGAGAATCGTAGCGTCAATATTCTACCTACTGAAATTTGGAGACCCTTCTCTGGTCATTTGTTCGTTCATTTATCGTTTTTATTGCAAACAAATCAGTTACTGCATGTTTAATGCATGGCTGAATTTTATCTGCAACTTTTAGCCTAAATGTGTGTGTGAGTCTGTGTGAATGTTCATTGACCTTAATCATTACCTAATGTTATTGTCTTCCATCTCCATTCATTCCATCTTCCTGTATTTCTTTTCTCCTTTTAAGCTGAAAAAAAGCATTTTAAACCATCATTATTTCGGATGTTTATGCTTAACATTAATCAAAGGCATAAAGCTCGATGTTACATAGGTTTCCCACTTGCTCTTTTTCTAAATCGCTCACTCACAGACTCACAAACACTGTCGCGCCAAGGTTACAAAGCTTTTTGCCATCCTTTGTCACAGACACAGTTTCCTGGGTTCAATAGATGTTAAATTCAGTTGCTGGTACTCTCAGCTGTCAACATAGTTTAATTAGAGAATTAATACATAGTTTCAGTAGCTTTGTGACAAATCAAACAGTGTTAAAATGAAACCTCTAAGAAATCAAGAATTTTTATATAATTTTGCAACTGTGCTTTAACGTAACATAAATAAGCAAAGAAAATGTGAAATGTAAAGCTTAGCTCAAATAATACATTTGTAAGTAGAATAATAAAACTTCAATGTCTTTAAAGTTTTAAAAAATTGGCCCCAAACAAGAAAATTTTAATACATTTTTATTTTTATTCCATAAATGCCTTTGAGTTTAACTTGTATTGAACTCAGAATATCCCTTTAAAGCTTTGGTTAATGCTGCTTTTATCAAAAGTGCTCAGCATTATGATACTATTTTAAGCTGATCTTGTTTATTCTCAGGCTCTAAGTTGGGGTTGACTGATGTCCAGGCTGAGCTGGACCGGATCTCCAACAAATCGGACCTGGACTCCTCAGCCCCTAACGCCACCACGCCCCCTGCTGAAAACGACAAATCCTGAACAAGAGGCAGGGATAATTCACCGGCAAGCCCCTCCCCCTTTACACTGTTCTCCAGCCCCTGAACCTGCCTTCCTTGTGCCACCTCTCCTCCCTTCCTCATCCTCACTATTTCTCTTTATCTTCTTCAGAAGGGGGGTGTTGTTCCTGTTTATTCCTTGTAAGGCCAGTGACTTGAAGCTGCATGTTGGGCAAATTGCATTTGCTATGTCTGTCTCCACACACACGCACACACATACAGCAGGCGGGTCTGTAAAAAACAAGGGGCAAGGTTGTCTTAGAAATAATGGACACTAGACGAGTGTTGGACACTAAAAGACAAAAGAAAATTGAGATGTTGATGAAGTCCAATTTGGGCTTAAAAGTGATTAGAGAATTTAAATGTGTCTGTAAGAGAGTTCGACTTTTTTATTGGCTTTTGGTAGTGAATTCTCATTCGAGGAACGCTGTATGAGTGAAAGTTACCTGGCTTCTAATAAACAAGCGCACATTTTACTTACCTAACGTCTCTTTAAGGCTCATTTAAACAATTCTTTTAAAAAATCATCACATTTCAGCCCGAGAGGAATTTGATCAGACGATTAATTGGATAGGGTCACCTTGCGATGGTGTCTTCATTAAATAGCCCTCTTTATATCCTGCCATATTCTTTGGTGTCTTGATCACAGGACCAGGACAAATATACTGACACGATTTCAATGCTTTATAATATTCATAACCCCGTTTTTGCTGCTGAGAAACAGATTCAAGTAAGATTAATGCGATCTGTTTAGAAGTATTTAAAAATTGCACTATTACTCAATAGTAGGCAATTACACTGAAAATAATCTTTCACAATGCCGATTGTAGCAGGGAATAGTACACTTAACAAAAGAGAGTTTTTAGCATAGACATGGTTTATGAAGTCATCTGTGTAACTGCTGAGCAAGACTATTGATGGGACTGACAACTATGTCCATTGTAAAAATTATTTGTTTGTTTGTTTGTTTTTTATGTTCATAAGAGCTTGAAGTTTGATACTTCTGTGTATGTGTGTGTTCTCATCTCAGCTACAGCCAGTTATGGCACCGTTTAATAATGGATGCACTAGAGATCATGCAATCGAGATCAGTATTACTGTCTTTACATTGTTATGTATGTATGAGTGTGTGTGTGTGTGTGTGTGTGTGTGTGTGTGTGTGTGTGTGTGCGTGCGTGCGTGCGTGCGTGCGTGCGTGCGTGCGTGCGTGCGCGCGCGTGCGTGCGTGCGTGCGTGTGCGTGCGTGCGTGTGTGCGTGTGAGAGTTTTAGCTAAACGAGAAATTCAGCAGAACATTTGTCTGTTTAGAGACTTAAACGACTAGAAATTAGTAATGGGAAGGGAAGGGAGGGAGAAGGCAGAGGTGGCAGGGCAGGTGAGATCTCAAATCACCCTCACCTGCATGTACAGTCATCAACCAAACTTCTTACCAGAGGGAGGGGAAATAAACATACGCTAATATGGTCCTGTAATTTCACAAGATGTAGTAATGTTTCTCTGGATCAGGTCTGTAATCATTCTATTAAAGTTGTATTTATTGGGAATGGCTGTTCTCTCATTTTTCTCTCACATGTACATAGAGGGTTAAGAAAGGACATTAAAGGCAGTCTGATCTCAGCTTAAACAAGAGTAATGTGTTGGATATTTCAACTCTCCTCGACGCCCACACCGGCGAAGATGCACTGCACTGCTCCTTGCCGCTTATCGCCACCAGCTATCGTTGAAAATGAATGACTTTCGGCTACTTTAACGCTCTGGCCGCTTTCGGTGTTAGCGTTCGATAACAGTCTGTTCCCCTTCATATGGGAACTTTTACATGTGTCTGTATAAACAGACTTTGGGAGTGCTTTAGACGACCAATCATTTCTGAAAATATAAAAACGGGCCAATGAAATGCCAATTGAGCTTAGCTCCACAGCTGAAACCGATGAGCCAATTAGGGCTATATCAGTCGGCTGTGTGAGTTAGCTCATCAGAATTGTTGCTTCAGACCTGATCTGAGACTGACGAACCCTTCTGCTGAGCTGACTTCCAACGTTGAAGAAAGCATTTCCTTCACCAGTGTTGGAGAAGACGTTTCAGCGGCGGTTGAGCTGGGTTTATACACACACGTATGTATGTGTGTGTGTGTGTGTATATGTGTATGTATAAATAAATATATATAAATGCATCTGAAAATTAATTTGCATTGCTTAATTGTAGGCTACCACTTAAATCCTAAAGCATTAAGTTCAATTCACTGGAACACATTATATTCGATAGACTTTGTCAAAAGTCTATACACCCATTTAACCAGAAACTGTTTAGATGCATGTCACTAATGAGAAGATGACGGATGTTTACTGTATAATGACAGCCAGCAAGCACAAGATGTCAGCATGACGTCAAATTGACATTGTACCGTAACGTCATGGTGACATTGTATATTGTTTGAATATGAAAATAATGTTGACGTCAGAAGTCAACGTCAGGCCAACGTCCAACCTAAAACCAACCAAATATCAATGTCTAATGATGTTACAGCTTAACGTTGTGTTGACGTTTCAACAATGTCTATCAGACGTTGGATTTTGGTTGCCATACATGACTAATAAATGTCAGTATGACGTTAGGTGAAGATGTTAGCTCAGCATTGAATTTTGATCACTTTCTAACACAACCTAAAAATCAACGTCATTTGATGTCTTTATTGGTCGTAGGTTAGACATTAAATTTTATTCACATGACATCACAACCTAAATCGAACCTAATATTAACATCTTATGATGTTGTATGCCTGCTGGGCAATAACTAAGTCTACTACAGAATGTTACATTTACACACATACACAAATTACATGTAAATGCATCAGCTTTTTGCAACCCCTGCTGAAAAATCCAGCTTAAACCAGCCTAGGCTAGTTGGCTGGTTTTAGCTGGTTGACCAGGCTGGTTTTAGAGGGGTTTTGGTCATTTCCAGGCTGGTTTCCAGCCATTTCCAGCCTGGTCTTAGCTGGTCAGGCTGGAAAATTACCAGCCAAATCCAGCTAAAACTAGCTTGACCAGCCTGGTTTAAGCTGGATATAGCTGGTTTTGGCTGGACTCCCAGCTTGGCTAGGCTGGTCAAGCTGGTTTTAGCTGGTCATTTCCCAGCCTGACCAGCTAAGACCAGGCTGGAAATGGCTGGAAACCAGCCTGGAAATGGCCAAAACCCCTCTAAAACCAGCCTGGTCGACCAGCTAAAACCAGCCAACCAGCCTAGGCTGGTTTAAGCTGGATTTTTCAGCAGGGACGTAATACTCACTGCTCGTGAGTAATTTTGAAACTTACAATTTTACTCATATTTTGAGTAATATTTACAACAGATACTTTAAATCTACTTTCACTTTATTTTTAAGCAAGTAATGGTACCTTTACCAGAGTATGATTTTTCAGTACTCTTTCCACCACTGGTAATAGGTTAATGTTATAAAGCACAACTGAAAACAGATTTTTATGTGCGGATTTATTTATTGACTTATTTATGTGCTGAATGTTTTAACAATCAAAACTAGACAAAATATTGAAACCAGGACATTTACATTGTAACAAAAAATGTGAATTAAAAAAAGGGTGTGAATTTTGTGAAATTCCTTTACTTGTTTGTCAAATAGTCTACTGCTTTCTGAGACACAATGTGATATTTAAAAATAATAATAATATTATAAAATTAAGTAAGATCACTACTCAAAAAGGACAAATCTGTAATGACACGCTTGGCATGTAAAAGATAAAGTTTCCATGCACTTTATGTGCTTCTTGAATTACTATGAGGCCTTCACAAAGGATGTTCAGAAGATCAAGTAAATATAGACCAACATTAAAAGGTTCATTTAAAGTACACATGTAAAACAATCTTTTACAATTAGTCACAATGCCTTAAAATAAAACTCAATTTCTAAATGAAATGTATAAAAAAAATAATAAATATCAAAACATCAATTTATGCATTAGACAATCTGCCTATTTTTGGAATGACTGCAAATGCGTACAGAGCAAACTTGACGACATTTCTTTCCATTTAAAAATAAGTTTAAACTATTTTTCAAGTTAAGTCCATCTTTAAATAAATGATTAAAAACTACAATTTATCCAGCAGATTTATTCATCTCTTTTCCAGGATTTGTAACTGAAGAATGCACTACCAGCATAGCTCAGAGATACTAGGAATGCAAAAAACTAGAGTAGAGAGAAAAAGAAAGGTATGCATTAAAAGTAATAATCATTATTGTATTCAAAGTAAATGAAAATCACAGCAATTATATTTTGCACGATCAAGAATGTAACCAGGATACCTGATCATTAATATATTCCCCAAGTTAATGGTGGTTACCCTTGCACACAATTATCTACTTCAAATTGATTACCGTTGATGCTGCCCAGCAGTTGAAAGTATGATGACCTTTGACCACCTGATTCAACAATGTTGCCTCAACAATAGCAGCCGATGTGTAGAATAAAGCTGCAGTGCAATTGAAAATGAGAACCTAAAAGGTCAGGGACAGAATTACAAGCGAGTAATTTTTACCTACAGCAATACGTTCCTTCAAAACTATTAAAGAGATAATTGATCCAAAATTGTTCCCCCATGAAACTGTCTTTATCAAAATTAATTTCCTTTTTTATTCTTACACAGATCTGTAGAAATAATAATCTGCACCTACCACTGTAGTCCACTGCATGTGCTTGCGATGTCTATTGGCCACATTGATGATGAGTAGGAAAAGTGTGAGAAGCCAGTAGAAGACAGTCACAAACATCACCCATCCAAATGGTGAAAACCTGAAATATTCTGTGCTTGCAATCAGTGGCCATACCAGCAGACCTAAAATCTAAGGAGCACAAGAATTTCTGAATTGAAATATATGATTTTCTGGGAAACCTGCAGGAAAATGTTTTAGCACAGTGCTTCTTAACCATTATCCATGACTTTCCAGTAGCGTGTGACTTACTGGATAACAACTAAGGTTAAAAGTAGAGACTTTAAACATCAGGAAAAAAATTTCTACTACAAAAACTGCTCTTTATTTGTTTTTGCTTATTTTCATAGGTCTTTTTTTTGTCTTATTTGAAATTAATTGAAGTCACCCTGAAGGCCGTTAGATGTGACTGATTCTTCCAGTACCATTTTAAAGTTGCCAACTTGTAAGATCATTCACTAATGTGTAACAAAATGTGCGCTTGCCAGACATTTCGATGGGCTGTGGCCAACCTATAATAAGTATAGAATAGAAAGCTTCTTCTAAATAGGGGAAATAGTTTTATGGGTCATTGACTTATTCATTCACTTAAATTTCCATTTAAATATCTCTATTACAGTTGGACTTCCTCTGCAACATGTTGGCCTTATTTCCTTCATAAAGACAGAAAGAGGAACATGATTTGCAATCACATACAAATAGTTCCACTGCAATGTTCCTTGCAATTTCTGCCATGCAAAAGATCACAGTTATATGCCATTCAGTTTCTAGAAAAAGCTAAATGATGTCATGTTTTTCAGACAGAAACCTATAGTGAAGCAGTATTCAGATGTGTGAGATTAAATTGAAACTGAAAAAATAGGCTATGCAAACGTTTGGGCACCCTCTCTTTTGTGTAAATTTCAAAACTTTTAATCACTTAATGCTGATTGATTACAATACAAAATTGATTTGATTGACTCAGTGAACCTCAACAATCCTAACACGGGTGCAACCCATCATGAAAAAGGATATTTAGGATAGCTGTTTGCAAGTTGTGCTTTTCATTTTTGTAAACCAAAGAGTAGGAACATGGGAACTTTAAAAGAGCTCCCTAATGACCTAGGAAATTATAATTCACCCAGATGAATTAGGAGAAGGATGCAAAAAGTTATCACAAAGTTTTATAGTCTCTAACTCCACAGTCAAAAATATTGTAAGACAATGTAAGGCCACAGGGACAGTTCTGGTGAAGGAAAGATGTGGTAGGCCAAGAAAATTATCTGAAAGACAAAGGCAAAAAATGGTCACAAACAAACCACAGACCACCTTTAAAGATCTCCAGAAATGGCTTGCTGCGTTTAACGACATTGTTCATCATTCTACAGTCCATCTTAACTAAGAACAGCTCAATATAAGGGTGGTATAGAAAAGGCCTTTTCTGCATTCTGCCAACAAGCAGGGTTGCTTGAGGTATGCTCATAAAAGGCTCAACTGGACAATCATTTTGGAAAAATATACTGTGAACATAAGCCACAACCATGGGCGTTTTGCAGGGTGGAAAAATAACACAGCATTCCAGGACAAGAACATGCTCGCTACTGTAAAATATGGTGGAGAGATGTATGTCATGCACAGGAACTGGAAACCTTGTCGGAGTTGGATTCCACCAGAATCAGCAGATTCTTAAGAACAAAGTTCAGAAATCAGTCAAGAAGCTAAAGTAATGGCAGGGTTGGATATATCAGCAGGACAGTTATCCAAAGCACAGTTCCATATCTACCAAGCAATTCATGTTTGGTAGACACTAAAATTTTTTTTTTTTAATGGCCATCCCAGTCCCCAGACTTGAACATCATTGAAAATCTATGAATTGATTTGAAAAAGGCTGTTTGTGCTTAGCACCCATCAAACGTGACTGATCTGGAGACATTTTGCAAAGAAAATGGTCCAAAATGCATTCAGCAAAAATTCAGGGGCTTATCCCTGGCTACAAGAAGCATATACAGGCTGTTATTTTAGCAAAAGGTGACTACAGAATACTGATGTCATTCTGTTGGGGTGCCCAAATTTTTGCACCTGTCTGTTTTGTTTAATTTGATTAAATTCTGTTTTGTTAAAATAGCATTCCATCTGTTGATTAAATAAGTTGTTATGTCAGAAATGAAATGTTGCTCTTTTTCCATTGGGTATAAAACAGATTCAAATTAAAATGCTGATTTGAAAGGCCAGCAGACTATGGCTTGTAATTCTGAAAATTATCCAGGTATTTTGCATCAAACTGTATGTATCTTTAAAACCATAAAATTAGATTTCAGTAATTTGTCATATAATATGTAAAGTATGCACGGTCTGTTTACTTTAGGTCACCCTTTGATGTTAACTCTGCTGCATACATTCCGTTTAGGAGAATACCCTACATTTGTCCAGAGCTCTTAAAGCGTTGCTCGTGCAAATTCCAATGAAAGGAGCAACATATAACTGAACAAACACACAACAAAAAGTTCACTACTGACAAAAAAAAAGTTTTTATGTGTATTATATTTGATAGACTATACGTTTTAAGACAGATGGTTTACTCACAATTTCAGCACACACGAGGCAGTTTGCAACGCTCAGAATGGACCATAAGGTACCAGTGCTTGAATTCCCGAATTCTAGATAAGGGCTGCTCGCGGTGGTTATCACAGGTCTAGAGTCTGTATTCTCCGCCATAAAAGCAACCCAAAATCTTAATGGTCCAAGTTTGTTTCTCGGCGTACAGGTCGTGTTTCGACCAAAGAATTTATCTGATTTTGTTGCCTCTAATAGAAACAGCGAACAGCAGTTCGTTCCTTGCTTTCTTTGCATAAATAGAACAATACACCAAAAAAGAAAAAAGGATATTTGCATACTGAGCTTGCAAAAAAAAAAAAAAAAAAAAACTCCGCCCACCGACCACACTGATTGATGACGCTGGATGTTGTATTTCAAGATAGAAATAATAGCGCTTGCAAGCCACCAAAATAGCAGGGCAGAGTATGTCATCGTTTTAAAATATACTGTCCAGTATTTTAATAAACGTGACAAAACAAATAGTGCAGAGATGTCAGAAGATGTGGGGCAGTACCAGGCATCTTAAATTGTATGCCTACCTAATTTTTTTAAAAAGGTAAACTGTTTAGGTTCTAATAAATATGTATCAATTTTAACCCACTTGGTACAAATGTGTATGTCTAATAGATTTTAATGTCCATTTACGTTTGAGAGTGACATGCAGATGCCTAGACACCTGAAAACTCTTAAAAGTCGTCCACTAGATGGAGCCACACTCTCAGAAATAAAGCTAGGCTACAAACGCATGTGTTTTAGGCTGTTACGTATTTTTTATGTGTCGATATAGATCCTGTAGGTACAAATGTGTGCCTTTTGAAAAGGTACCGTGCTATTGACAGCTCAATTTAAACACTCGTTGGTAACACTTTATAATAACAGTACATGAATAATGATGTATTAATATGTAAACTAAAAATTAGTTTATTATGAATTGATAATGAGTTAAGGTATGCACTAATCATGAATTACCTTTAACTACAACATGAGTCACAAGAGTTCATGTGTGAATAACGGCTACCTTAATTACTTGTTAGTACATGCTGTTAGTTAATGTATTAATTAACTTTTAAGTTTAAGCTAAATGTAACCAACATGAACTTGTGAGCTGTTAATGTATAGTCATGCCATGACTTTACTTGGAGGGACACATCACTATAACTCATCCTTAACTACTCATGAACTCCTGTTCATGATGATGTTGACAGAACACTTATCTGGTGTTATTCAGTGTATACTCAAGTTGGACGTGCATAAGGAGTTCATACGTAGTTAAGAATGGGTCAATGATGATGTGCCCCTCTAAGTAAAGTCACAACATAATTTTGCATTAACAAATCATGAGTTCATCATGTGTAAAATAATAATAATTAAATGCCTGGGTGCTGATCCACAGAGGACTACAAGACTATTATTTTGAGGGCGAGGTCAGGAGCTCAGATTTGGTAAATAAAAAATTAATAATTATAATTATATGTTTTTGTATAATTTATGCTTAAGCAATGGATGAATCAGGCATAGGCCTATGTTCTAGTATGTGGTTCAAATGATATGTAAATTTAGTGTATTATGTTAAACAGTTATTTAAACAAAAAAAAAATTAAGATTATCGTTCTCTTTGACAGTTTGATTCTACTTGCATCATTCTCATCACCTGCAGCTGCTGCCAAAGTGAAACGCGGCGCCTAGCTGTGCCTCCCTCATATCTGTAGTAAGATGTCCAGCTTATAGGCTAAAGATAAATTGATAAAATAACAGAAAATGCACTGACAGTTTATTACAAAGTTTTTGTAGCATAATATACAACACCAGCCCAGACAATATAAATTAATACATAAATAAAAAAAAATAAAAAAATCACAAAATACTGAAAACTGTTAATTTACAGATATGTACTCGACATTAATCCAGCAAAAGTCTCGAAAGGAATTGGCTTGCTGCGTGAGAGAAAATGTGTGTGTGTTCCAATGAACTCTTATTCTGGCCCTGCTAACAACTATAAAAATAAAAACTAAACAATAAAAACTATATAATAATAATAATAATAATAATAATAATAATAATTATTATTATTACTATTATATAGGCCTAGCTTGGAAACAATCGTGCAAACCAAGTGCTGCTCTCAAATCTTTTGCTCAGTATCAGGTGCATAGCAGCAAATTTGGCGGCGAACTATAACAGTAATGATAAATGTCTAATAATACTGCTAATATATTATATATTAAATATAATATATTAAATGCCTGTGTGCTGATCCGCAGAGGACGAAGACTACAGGACTGTTATTTTGAAGGCGACGTCAGGAGCCCAGATTTGATTGACCAATCAGAGGAAATGGGCGTTTTAGAACCGCCTACATGTGGATAATGAATTTTAAAGTCATTTATCCGTTTTCCTACCCTAAACCAAAAAAAGAAAATCGAGCCAAAATCATTTATTTAATTTTTTTGTAGCCAAATAAAAAATCGAAAAACGGCCGTTTCCTCGTTTTTTAAATTTCGTTTAAGATCAAAAATCGAATGAACGCAACGTACACGGACCTGTTTTCCTACCCTAAACCAAAAAAAAAGAAAATCGAGCCAAAATCAGTTATTTCATTTTTTTGTAGCCAAATAAAAAAACGAAAAACGGCCGTTTCCTCGTTTTTTAAATTTCGTTTAAGATCAAAAATCGAATGAACGCAACGTACACGGACCTGAAACTATTTTATATACTTAAATTTAACTTTTGCATGCTAAAAGTACTTGAGGAAGAGACGTTTTACTTGATTTGAGTCATTAAAAATCCGATTATATTATGAAAGAGGTAGCCTATATCTGCTGTATTCACCCTAAAGGTTGATATAAAACCAAAACAACACTCATTCCTATCTTAGGACTTTTTATAAAAGAATTTCTTTAATAACAGTAAGTTTATGCCATGTTATATATATATATATATATATATATATATATATATATATATATATATATATATATATATATATATATATATATATATATATATGGTCTTAAACAAAATTATAATAATAATAAATATAGTTATGTAACAACTATAACATTACTCTTATATCTTAGGACATCTTTGATTAATATTTTACTACCTACACTAAATGTTGACTATTGAAGGTACATTTATAACAACTATTTATTTGTAGACTACTGTATTATCAAACCATGTTGCATACAAATGCATTCAACAGACTTAAATGACAGTGTATTGCTGTAGAAGACAAATAAAACACGAGACAGGTGTTTAGGAAGAGTATAGTTTATTTTGTTTGACCTGCAAACTTATCTAAACAAGACTAACTCTCAGAAAACAGACCGAAAACATTATGATGCGCGCGCTCGTGGAGATGACCCGCGGTCGTCTTCAACTGTTGTCTTCAATAGTCCTTCTTTGCTCAACAACTCATCTGAAAAAAACAAAGCAAAACATTACAACATTCAGACAAAGAGCAGAGAGCATAGTATCACCAAGAGGCGATACTCTAGTGCAATTTGGGAAACAATAACGCGCTTTTTGAATACATTAAATAAAAACAAAGCCGCTGTTTGCCATTGCGACAGCAATGATATCCAATGCACGAGCGATCGCTTTCACTTCAAAATGGCCGAATCTGTTGCTCTTGGTCATCCTAGGCTCTTTGCATAAAGTTAAATCATAACAGTTATCATGGTTTCTATTTCAAACTATAGTAAACTAAAGTTTGAAACTATAGTTTAAAATAGAAGATGAGTGGGCCTCGCTACTCCCACCCACCATAACCCTCGCAGCGAGGTCCCACTACCGGCCCCCCGTGTTTCCCTGAGGGTCCTCGGGGGTTGTTTGTTCCCTGCCTAGGGCTCAAAGGCCGCCTCGCCCCAGGGAGTGCACGGAAAAGACCGGGCGCCAGGCCGTGCCAGTATTCACTGGATGTTGCTCGGCGGCACATTTCGAGCAACAAACACGTAATATTCTTCGCGATATTGCGTTTATGTACGCAAACCGCAAGGAACTACAGCACAGACGGGCCCGGGTGAAGCATCACGAAGCGGACTTCGTGAGTTTGGCGTAGCTCCACTCGTACCGTCGGTATTGAACTCACCTTGGTCAAGTACAAACAGCTACACCGGGCGAACTGACAACGCTGACTGAGAGCACACGAGCTTTATAGGAATGCATATGCAAATTTCTACAAGGCACGTCACTGTTGTCTCGTTGTCATGGCGAGCGCTGAGGAGGGCTCACCTGATTGGAGCACAGAGAATCGGGAATTTGCGTCACGGCTAGTTGCCGTCTGCTGTTGACAAAAATATCTTAAATATAATAAATATATATTTTTACATTTTTGGTGCTCTGTAATATTCTGACATGCAGTAGAATATCGAGACAGATGAATATAATTGGATATATGCCGAGCTAGTGTTGTTCCCATACTTATAAACTTCCGGTGACCGGTTGTTTTGAGTTTTTTTCCATTTTATACGGTTCCTTTTACAGCATTGATGTTGTGATGCAATTAAAATACATTCAGTTAAATAAACTTTGGCATTCATTTAGTTTTTCAAGCGTAAAACGAGACAAAAGACCCTTTACTCGCACTCGCCCGTCAGAATCGGCAGACTAGCGCAGACGCTCCCTTGAATACAATGAGGTAAAATAAATGCTCATATTATAAAGACATGGCGGGGGAAATGTAATTTAATGCAGTGCTTCTTGTACAATCTGAGACCCACTTTATATCGGATATCACTCAGCCAGTGGAGATCGCTGATTTTTAAAGAAAACAGACCTTAAACATGCTGATTTTCCCTTTGGCAGTTTGCTGGAAGCGCTTAACCCAGGTTACTGACAAATTAAATGTCCTATTAGCATGCTTCAGCATATACCCTAAAATCCCAGAATATCTTTCGAAAAAGAGTACGGGTTTAACACCACCATCCTGGCCAAATTTACCCACTGGCCTCTGTCCATCATGGCTTTAATACTCTGTCTTCTCTCTCTGTGGTGTGCGGTCTGGTGGAAAACGGCTGCTGTCGCTTCATCCAGGTGGATGCTACAATGGTGGTAGATGAGGAGATTGCTACCCAATAAATACCAAACTAGCTAAATTTAATAATATTTCCCCTAAATGCTCATTTTGTACTCAATATGATGAAACACTAAAGCATTTATTTTGAGAGTGTACTTACTGTAAAGTGTTTTGGGTTGACTTTTCCAATTTCATTAAAAAATTCTTATTTCCAAACTTCTGTATTTCCCCAAAATTGTATTCTTTGGTTACTCTCTGAGTGTAGATCCTT